CGCCCGGCCCGGCCCGGCCCGGCCCGCCCCGCCCCGCCGCGCCGGGCACAAGCCGAGCTGTGTTTGGCCCCCGCAAGCGGGCGGTCGTTGCCTTCGGCTCCCAGAGGCAACAAGAGAAGATTTGTGCGGCACTAGACCTACAGCGCAACACGGGGGAGCCCCAGCTCGGGCCCCTCGTTTTTATGCCCCTAACAGGAAACACATTGTGCTCTTTATTATTATTATTTTATTTGGAGGGGGGAGCTGAAGCCAGGCGCCAGCCGGCTCCTGCTACAACTTTGCCAGAGGAAGGATTGGGCTTTTTCCCCACCCCCCTCCCTCCCTCGGGTTCATCAGGCTGCAGTTTCCATAGAAGCGACTTATCCCCGCGATCAGCTTTGCTGCGTGCGCTTTGCAAGCTCATTTCCCGCCCGCGTTTGCTCGGCTGCTCTCAGCTGCCGCTGCCGCTGCTGACACATTTCCTCCCCTCGCACTTCGCACCCACCTCATCCCTGCTTGAGATGCTCGGGGCTGATTGTGCCTCAAAGGGGGTTTCATGGCAAGCCGCAGCTGCTTCGGGGGTTGGGATTTTTTATTTTATTTTTATTATTATTCTTTTTTTTTTCCACTCCCGTGTCTCGTGCTCAGCTTCGTGCCTGGCAAGCATCAGACCCCCCCTAGTTTCCTTCCCCCTCTCCCCAGTCCCAAATTGCAGGGACACCGAGTACTGCTGCTGTGAGCGCTTTGCCACACGCCTGTCGCGTGCTGCTGTGTGCAGGCTTCACCAGTGGCTCCAGTTCACCCGCTGGCCTGGGAAGGGGGGTGATGTGAGGGAGGTGGGGCAGGTTTCCCCAACATCCGCTTGGCAGTAGCACCTCACAGCAGTAGGGGGGCAGTAGGGTGACTTAGGGACAGGATGCTGCTGGCTGACCAGGTCCTGTCACGGTGTGGGGAGCCCTTGCTTCCCTCTCAGTGCTCTGGCCACAGCGGTGACAAGCCATCCAGGGAGCCACCCCTTGGTGGCAGCTTCCAGAGGCCTCTCCTTGAACCTGCTGGGACAGTTCTCACTGCAAAGCCTGCTGCAGACACTCCCTCTGAACATGAGTTTTGTACCCCAAACCAGCTTTCAAAGACTGCCCCAAGCGCCACGGGGATTTCATATGCAAAACCCACTTCCAAAGGCTGCCGGCTGACCCCGCGAGACGTTTGGGTTTACACTGTTCTCTGGTCCCAGGCAGTGTGGCCCCCCCAGCTACAAAGGTGTTTGGTTTTTTGTTTACTGTTAAACAAAAAAACCCCTGTGCTTTACTCTAAACTCAGCGTGCTCCCGTGCTGAGCCCAGTGCATGCCCAGAAGATGCAGGGCGTTAGTTGGACCCGGCTCACCATAGATCGGGCACTTTTGTGAGGCGTTTTCGGTGCTTTTATCTGATAGCTGATTGAATCAGGTATTAGATAGAAGTGCCAGAAAGCCCTGCTGAAGCACCCAATCTGTACGGACCCTGTGGAGTGGGGTTACACTAATGCGCTGCTTCTTCCAGTAAAGCACAGTATGTTTGGGTTTTTTAATGTCTGTAAGCAGCCTTGCAGACAAAAACACTTCCTGACCCCTTCCGCTGGGCCACATTCACACAGCTATCTGGACCCCACTTCTAACCAACCACCTTCAGCTTGGTGCATTTTACATCTGAATTTCATGTCCAAACTAACTTATTTCCCCACGATATTCACCTCTGAATCTCAGGTCCAGACAACCCCACTCTACCAAGGGGATCCTTGCTACCCACATTTCACCTCGCAACCACCCCACAATATTCATACCCAAACCATGCTTCCGAACTTTATTGTTGTGCTGTAAGGACATTTGCACTGGAGTCCCAGTACCAGATGTGCGGCTCCGCAGGGCCAAGCACTTCCATGCGTCGTGCTTCCATGTGCACTCCCAGACCTGCCCCCCCACATGCTTGGGACTGACTCATTAATTTAGCATAGAATTGTGCCATCTGCAAGGGGCTCTTTGGTGGATGTTACTGGAAGGGTAGGGCTGTGAAATCCTTTTGTAGGCAGGTTCTGCAGGATACAGTAAATGTTAATTGTGCCAGGCATAGTGTGCCCAAGTATCATCTCACTTATCTACTCACTTGAAAGTAAACACATTTTTTGAATACTGGAATCTGTCTGTTCCTGCTAGCCTAATGTTGGCATTTTAATTTACGTTACATCACATGTCTTCTCCAAGCAGAAGCTTAGTTGTGTTTGACTGTAATGAGCTGATTAAATGACCCCATAACTTTTGTGGTTTTCGCAGAAATGGTGATTAGTCACAATGCAGTAAGAATTGTATTATCTTGGGCACCTTTGCACAAGATATTTACTGTACAGGTGACCAATTAACTGCGCAATACATGTCTCCATGTCTACACGTGTGTCCCTATTAGGGCACGTGAAACAAACTCTGCACCAGGTAGTTTTATAAAATGCAAGAACTACCCTGCTGTGGAGGTTTTCCTGTGCAACAGTTCATGTGTGGATGCTGCCCTGGGTCACAAGGTGTCTCGGTGCAGGTCTAGCTAGCAGGCAGCCCCAGTGCTGAGGCACCGACATCCCAGCTAGCTGCTCCGCAGCGTGTGAAGATGGAGGAGCAGCAGGGGCTCTGCAGTGCGTGAAGATAGAGGAGTAGCCCTGGGCTGGCCTCTCCCTTGTCTCCATGTGCCGCTCCACGGCTGGCTGGGATACTGGGCATGCCTACACGAGACGCCCGCTGTGCAGTTGTTACTGCACATTCATTTAGTACTTGCATAACCAAGTACTAAATGACTGTGGTAACCGGCGTTACTGCACAGTAGCCTCCTGATACGGTTGCCTAGTGACGCTTACTGGTCAGTAGCTCATTACTACTGTGCAGTAGCATTGTGTCAAGGTTTGTGCCTAGTGACACAGCTGCGCAGTAGTAATGAGCTACTGCTCAGTAAGCATCTCATCTAGATGCACCCACTGTGCCTCAGCATGGGGGCTGTTTGCTGGTTAGCCTGAGGCACCCTGTGCCCCAGCCTGCCCCTTCCCCTGTAGTACATGGAGAACAGAACAGGCTCCCTAGGTCCCCCGCCAACCCAGACTGCTCCCACAGGACTCTATGTGGTTTGCACAAATTAATTCCAGAGCAATTTGCTCTGGAGTTTTTTTGCTCTTGGGCATACGTTCAAATGGTGCATTTGGGAGCAAAAGACTCCTGAGCAATAAGCTCTAGAGTTTATTGGTCTGTATTAATTGCATGTGTAGACGTGCTCCTTGTGGATCAGAACAAAATCTATA